TTTTATTTCAGATGGCACCTACCCAATTTCAGGCATTCTCGAAGGCGGCAGCATCCTCAAAGTCATGACGGAGAGTCGTGCGTGCGCGATAGATTGTTTCGGGTAGAGTCACGACGTCCGGCAGATCAGAGGTGGATTGCACCGCCCCGAAGTGGTGGCGCGTAGGCGGCGACATTCTGCCAAGAGACATTGCGACGAAGGTAAAATCACGCTTCACCAGCATGAATCTCGGTGCAAAGGTTGACGAAGGTCGTCTCTAATAGCCCATCATTCTTGTGGCTGAAGCGGTGCTGCTGGTGGACGGCGACCGTCTCTGGTGGCTGACGGCGGAGGTGCGTCAGCAGGCTAGTGGCAGCAGGTTGTTGGGTTGGTGGCCGATCGTCGTGATTGTGTGAGTGTGTGTGCTATGTGTGTGTATATGTGTGTTTTGTGTGTTGTGTATGATTTGTGTGTGTGTGTGTGTGTTCTGTGTGTTTGTGTGTTTTGCGTGTGTGTGTGTGCGTGTGTGTGAAGGAGTGTGATTTTTGTGTGTGTGCATGTGAGTGAGAGAGAGAGAGAGCATGGTAGGTTTGTTGGGTGGGGCCCACTGAAGTGTGTTGGATAGACCATCCACAATGTTTTAGGTTCAACCAAAAAGAAACACAGGCCACGTAGAAAAGACCAGTCTAAAAAAATATACACTCCAATGCAAGTGCAAGTGGATTGGGTCATGTTGATGTGGCAGCAAGAAAAAAAGACCCGGTCTACCCTTAAGTCTATTCTACACCCAAGTAGAGACCTGGTCTCTTTGCATTGGAGTTAATTTTGTTACTTCTATATTTTTTGTCTATGTCATCCGAGACTTAGGTTTATTTACATGTCACATAAGGAAAATTAGACCTAAAGCATTGCAGATGTTCTTAGTGGGACTTTTGTGAAATGACCAGACTACCTTAATGAGTGGACAAATATATATATTAGAACATGATATATATATATATATATACCCATATTTTTGAGATTGTCACTGCAAGTTTGAGTGGCAATTATTAAAATTTGACTTCATCATGATTATAGATATGATGGATCCAATGATCCTTAATTATTCTTATTGAACTCATTATACATCATTCTCACTTGATTCTAACTCTACATAGAAATGTATAATTTAAAAGTAAAGATTAAAATGTTAATAAGATATTCTTTAATAAAAGTGTGGCATGGTTAGGGATGGATATAAAATAAAATCTATTTATATATACTAGTACGTAGCTCGTGCTGTTGTAGAAAATTATGTTTATTTACCGAGTACCGAATCAAAAGATTCGTTCCCCGGGTCGATCTCACGAGGAAGGTTAGCCGAATTATAATGCACGATTATTCAAGCACAAAAAGAAGAATTTAAATTACTAAACATTCTAATTCAAAGATTGGGTTTGATTTTAACTATCAACTAAGAAGTTCAAAAACGCAAATTTAGAAATAAAAGAAAAGGCTATCAATCAACAGTGTATAGGAAGCCAGGGAGTCGAGAATAATCGTTTTGGTTCGAAATGCAATTATCAGGCAAGTGATCGTTTGGTTAAATGATCCGAATAACCTACTCGTTCAGAGATTCATCCTCAATAACTTTTCCTTACAAGAGAACAATATGAACGGCAAATTAACGACTTTTCCTTACAAGAGAACAATATGAACGGCAAATTAACGAGTCGTTTAACACATAGACAATATAGGTACGAACAAGCCTATTTTATACGAGCTTAGATCGATCAACTCCTCCCCTTTCGGTTCTAAGAGTCGATTAAAATATACTAGAAGGTGGTTAATCGACTGGTCTATTAGGATTGAAAATGTCACACGAGAAAGAATCATATTCAATTGGAAACCAATTGTAAATTGAAGTGTCACCCTTCAACAATACTCAACAATCAAGCATGAAGATCACAAACCCTATTTTCATATTAACTCGCATAAAGTGAACGAGTCGACAAGCACGACAATCACAAACAAAACCAAAATACCATCCCCTATATCGAGCAATAGGATTTAGTTACTCATAACGAATTCAACATAAACATTCATCTCAACCCAAGCAATCAAATTCATAACTTAAACAAAGAGAAAAACTTACAATTGAAATGAAATTGAAAGTTGAATCCGAGAGAAAAGCTTAATATGAGAAAATCAAGAAAAAATTTAAAGTGTAAGATGGTGTTCTAGGGTAAAATCTGGAAAAAAATGAGTTTGGGGAATGTTCTACAAGTTTGGAACCGAGCAAAAACGAGAAAAACCAAAAACATAAAATCTTGCCCGCGCCCAGGCTCTAGCGGAGCTAAGGGCGCGCTGGGCGCTGGCCTCTGGGGTCGTTAGGGGGGCGGTAGCCCTGGAAAGCGTCGCTAGCCCAGGCGCGCCGCGCGGGAGCAAGCGCGTGCGCAGGGCAACGCGAGAGCGTGTGGGTCAACGCAGGAGCGGCCTGGCAGCAGAGGAGAGCAGGGGGGGGGCTTCTCGGGGACACGTGGGCAAGCTGCGGGTGATGTCTGGGCGAGCTGGGCGAGGCGTGGGGCAGTTGTGCGCAGCTTTATGTTTCGGACTCATTTGAGCTCGTCCGAACTCGAAATTGAGTTCCACTTTTTCCTACTTGTCTCCAACGAACCCTTCTATTTAATTATGCTTGCCCGGACTATATTTTGTTGAATTCTATCCTCTCAAAGCTTCCTACCTGCACATCAAAAACGAGAAGAAAAACAGAGAAATCTGGAAAATGAACGAAAAAACACAAAAAAAACACGAAAAAACTCAAAATGAAGGAAAACACGCAACAAACTACAAAAACAACTAAAAACCAAAGAAACGACCTAAAACAGGGGAAAAATAAAGGCAAAATAACAACGAAAAATGCAACAAAAATGTGACAAACAGGTGCTGTAACGCCCCGTTATTTTTAAGTGAGAAATACCGATTTATTTTTCCAAAAACCAGAGTTAATTTTCGAAAGATCAATTTAAAGATTTATTTAACGGGTGCTACTCAAATACTCACATTCAGACAGTTAAGTCCACACTTAACCAACATGATACAACCATCCCAAATCAAATCTCATGCCAACATTTATTCCATCATGTGAAATATCCAAATCAAGTCCAACATGATAACAATATCCAATCAAAATCAAATCCCAAACATGTGATAAAAATCCCAGAAAACATGGTTCAGTTTCCAAACGATAATAAAGCAAGTGTGACAATGAGATAATTAATAATAAATAAGCGGAAGCAGGTAACTAGCAGTTCAAAATCAAATAATGACGCCGCCTCGCTCATCTTTTGCCACAGCCACCAGCTCAACCTGAAAAGAGAGTTAATAGTGGGAGTGAGCGACCAACATGCTCACCGTTGGAATACCATGCAGTATAACTAATATAAAGACTTAAAATCATAATCGCAGCATGTAAGCAAATCGCCTATTCTACCCCCTAACATAGCCCTACGCTCATGTGATCACATCTAACCTGTCAATACAACAAGACAAGAGCAACGATCAATACAACAAAGACAGGAGCAAATCGTCGATACAACATCGCGAAGTATGCTATCTAAAGGCTAGAGTTAGGAGAAGTTCCAACAACCGAGATACAACACCTCGTAGACTACCGGTTCACATGCATACATATATCAACCCAAGCATTTATAGAAATTAACATACATGGCAAGGTTTATCAACACCCAACTGATCAGTTTTGGCAGATATATCACACGATCGGTTGTAGGTAGATTGAGGCTCGACTCCTCAAACACCTACAATTTTATTCAAGATAATATTTAAAAAATACTTACCTTGAAAATCAGGAATTCAAAACGAGAATTCATACTTAGTCGATAAATTGTCGACTAAGTAGCTTGTGAAATTTGAATCCCTCATATTTTAAAGAAATCATTTGAAAAATCATTTATAATGGCCAAAAACGGATTCTACCCGAAAAACGAGGTCAAAGGCTCAAAAACCGGTTCAACAGGTTGAGGAATTAAAAACGGGTTCAAACGGACCGGGTCGGGTGTAGTACGGTTCACGCAGGTGCATCCGGGGGTGTTCGGGCATGGACCGGGGCAGCTGGTCATGTTCAGACGCAGTAGGGCGTGAGCAGGCACGGGTCGGGACCTGCTGGTACGCGGCTGATGCGTTCGGGTATGCGCAGGCACGGTTGGTGGACCCTAGGCGCGGGTGCAGTGCCGACAGGCTCGATACAACGGTGCACGGCACGGTACAGGGTCGTTGGCACGCGGGCAGGGCCATCGGGTGTCGCCAGGGTGCGGCACATGAACGTTAGGCACAAGCTGGACGTGCGCGGGTATCATTGGGTACGCCTTGGGACGATGGAAAGTGCGCGGGACACGGTGTAGAGGGCAGCGAGGCACGGGAATGCATGCAGGTGCGCTATACGGGACGACACGCGTCCGTTGCGGCTTGCCCGCGTCGCTGCAGGGGTCCCGTGCGCCAACTGCACATTCTGCCACCCTGATGAAGGATCGCGTGTCTTGACCCTGTTTGTGAATAAACGCGCTAACGGCCTTCGTTTAGACACAATAAGTTGTGTTGAAAAGCGCACTAGGCCTTCTTTCGAACACGGTTGTATGATAAACATGCACTATCGGCCTTGTCTAAACACACGAGTGAACAAACGTTCGATTTTTCATTAAGTTCAACTTGTTTAAATCGAATGACAATAGGTAGTATTTATAGAGGCTAACTAGATCTAATTCTAGTCTAAGAAGAATTCCTAATGCATGGAAATAAATAAAGTCCTAAGGCAACTAAATATCTAATAATGAAAGGCTTACCAAAACTATTTAGGTACATGCCTTTTATTCAATTTCCTAACCAAACTAAGACTCCTAATGATGCTAAGTAAATCGGCCCTTAGGCATCTAGAAGCTTCGCGCGTCATCTTGCGTCGCACACCTCGCCCAAACCCTAGCCGCGTCGGCTAGTCCTTGTCCTCCGAGGTCTCGGTCTTCTCCCGTGTCCCACGCGTCCACTTGCTTGCGCCTCAAGTCGCGCGGTTCTACCCTAGGCGGCTTACTACTCCTAGTCCACCAAAGACTTGCGCTTGTCCGCCCCCGCATGTCCCGCGAGTTACCGTCGGCGCCCCACGCGTGGTTCGTCGGGCCACGCTCGCGCTCCCGCATTCACGCATCGTCCTGTTCGCAAGTGGTCGGCACGTGAACCTCTCCTCGATCGCTGGCTCGCCCACCGCGTCCCCTGTCCCGATTGCCTATTGCTTAGTCGATCCATGCAGTAGCCATCTTCCGTGAACTGCCCGCACCCTTCTCTAAGTCCTCGTCATCATATCGTCGTGCCATCTTGCGCGTGCCTTCCGTCGCTCGACCCTGCCTCACATGTCCTTCTCTCGCTCGCCTCATCACGTGATTCACGCATACCGCGTGTCCTAGCGTTGCACAGTTTCCCCGCGGGCGGCCCTCATTAGCCTCTTTCGCCCGGCCCCGACGTCCTTCCCGTCCATTATCGTGCCTCTTGTCGGGGTTCAGGCGCACCTCATCCTTGGGCTCAGAAGGGTCGATGACCACATCTTCATCATTCCCGCCCTCTTTAAGAATTTCCTTATTCTCAAGGATAATGAACTTGAGACTCTTTAGCTCAACCGGTTCGGTTCCCTCGTCGCTTGTGCACAATTTAATGCGCTTCTTTGCTCGTTCGAACTCCATAGTCCCCTTCTTGAATTAGTAGTCACTGGCCCTAGCGTCTCCAACCATTGGACCTCAAGTACTACATCGGGTCTGGATAGTTCTGGCGCATAGAGATCCACCTTAAACTCCTCACCTTGCACTTGTATCGGCACCTTTTTGTATAAGGCCGAACTCTTAAGCTCCTCGCCATTCGCGACCCTCACGCCAAATGGCACGACCCCGATCATAGGAACTACAAGTTTCGCGGTGAAGTCCTCGTTGATGAAGTTGAGGGTCGAACCACTATTGACCAATACGTTGACCTTCCTTCCTAGAATCTCTGCCTCAAACCTTATCATCTTCGGTCCTCTCTTTGCCTTTATCATGTGCATCATTTCCAATTGGGGGTTCATGTATAGGTGCGGCCAATGCTCGTTCTTTCCCTCGGGCTCGAATGTTTCGAGAAGGTAGACCTCCTTTCCTTTGCATCGGTGCCCAGGTACAAACGGTTCACTGCACCAAAAGCATAATCCCTTCTTCCGTCTTATTTGCATCTCCTCAGGTCTAAGTCGCCGCATGATACTCGGTGGTCGGATCGTGTCCGCGGTCTTCGCATTCTCGGGTTGAGGTGGCTGCTCGTGTATCATGTTCACGCGTCGTGGCTCTGTACGTCCATCGTCGTGTCCCACTTTGCGGATCACAACCAGGTGATCCTCGCGCATCCACGCGGACTCTATGGCAGCCCTCATCGACCGTGGTATGTCGAGACGAACCTCGGCTACCAGCTCGGGCTTAAGCCCTCCCATAAATGAGCCTACGAGTGCGCTTTCGGGCCAATCGCGTACATGACTAACAAGGCGCTCAAACTTCTTTTGGTGATCACGTAGACTACCACTTTATCGCCATAGTCGTAGTAATCACTAGACCCAAAACGTGTGATGAGCTCCTTCTCGAAGTGTTTCCAATGTACGCGCATGCCTTTGCCCTTGTAGATGTGCGAGATCCATTGCCACCATATGTTCGCCTCCCCATCTAGGTAATAGGCGTCGATTTTGACTCTCTCGGATTTGGGCATGTCATTGATGTCGAAGTATTGCAAGGCTCGACTTATCCATGCGTCCGGGTCGGTCCCCGTAAACGTGGGCATCACGAGCTCTGGCCTATCGGGCCTTCGGTCTTCGCGCCGGTTCAAAGCCCGTGAACCTATCGATTGGTGGACTTCGCTCTCTCGTCCGGACTCGGGGCTGCTCGACCTTTCCGACGTCATCCTCGAACCGTTGTCCCCCCGTGATTGTCGTCGCCGTATGAATTGGGCGGCGAGATCATTGGCGGCGTGTTGGCCGTCGCCAATGGACTTCAAGCTTTCCTCCAATATCTTCATCCTCTCTCAGTTTGACATTTTTTTTTACTCGACTAAACTTATGAAATGAAAAATTCAAAGGAAAAAAATCAAAAAAAGAAAGATAAATAAGACACACGATCAACACATCTCAATGAAAGCACCAATGATGAAGGATTGTGTGTCTTGACCCGATTTATGAATAAACACACGCTAACGGCCTTCGTTTAGACACGATAAGTTGGGTTGAAAGGCGCACTAGGCCTTCTTTCAAACACGGTTGTGTGATAAACACGCACTATCGGCCTTGTCTAAACACACGAGTGAATAAATGTTCGATTTTTCATTAA